TAGTATTTGCAAGAAGCAGGCAGTTATCTGAGCATAGCTGCAACAGACGGTCACCATTATCTGTTCTTTGAGCTTCGACACCATAAGATCCACCCAGGTATCTTTCCCTATCGCTTAGTTTACCTACTTGAGCATTAAAGTCACCAGCCACTATTACTACATCAGAGCGCCTAACGTTTTTGAGGTCAGGAAGCTTACTGTAAAGCTCATCTTTTACATCATCTGAGCTGCAGTCAGTGGGAGAATAGGCAGAGACGACGAAGAGGCAACGACGAGTGTCCCTATCTTCCCTAGTCCTTATTGTTCCGTTTAGTCGGACAGCGCACAAACGACTGTCTACTGGGATCCAGTCTAAGAGAGCTAGTTCTGTCCTGGGACTCAATGCTCTACCTACGCCAGCGAGGTCACGAGAAGCAGCACCAGAGCTTCCGGACACACGAAGTGTGAATCGAGTTGGTTCTTTAATTGGACATGGTGAGGTCAAATGAATGACGTTACTCAGATCCTGTATGCGCGTCTCGGAGACGCAGCACACATCGATGGCGCGAGATTTTAAGGTTCTAGCTAAGGAAGCCTGTTGTCCTATTTGGCATTATTTATTTATGTTAACACATAGATACTGGTACAAGGAGGTACCAAATACATATGCGCCACACAAATCTCATTTGATATGTGTGAGGGCTGTGATACTCTGCCCGGGTGCCCAAACCGAAACAGGTGGTTTTCTTAGGAGGCCACTCCCTGAGCCTTCGACATGAAGGTCTGATCCACAAGGCAGTGGAGCGTCGTGAGGAGATGCAGTCCCATGAAAGCCGGTGGCCAACAATTGTGTTATAACTTTTTCTTCTTACGGTTAGTGACCCAGCTATCCCTTGGCTTAGTATTCTCGGACACCGATTCACTCGACAAGTCCCCAAATCACAACACGGTTGAACAGGAAAAACATTATATTCCAAATAGCAAGTCACAAGCCAGTAGGAAGCACAATAGGGGAAAACGTCGGTATATTTATAGTTTTTACATAAGAAGATTCCAGAGTATTCTCCGACTATCGACTAGTGCTGATTGGATAAGAATCAGCCAATCAGCGTGCACCAAAACAATCATGCATTGAGCGTGCTTTAATCTAGTCTATGTCCGCTAACAAATTGGTTCATACGCCACTTGTTTCCGCAGAATACTGGAGCCCATGTGCACCATTGGTTTGGAATCAGGGTTTTCCAACTCCCCTAGGACTCTCCATGTCCACCAACCCGGTTAAGGCGCCGGACATTCGCTTTTCGTCCTCTCGATTTCGTAAACAACACCCACGAGAAGGCAGTGAGTAGGACTTCCCTGGTAGAGGCTATATACGCGTGGCCATGTGAAAGCATTTCGAGGGGGAGCGGACTCTCCCCACCCTCGGCCGTACCAGGGTATTTGGGGGCTTAGTGTTCGGACGTTAACAGCTCCTAAGTGTAGTTTAGAGCGTGATTTCAGGAGACCAGGAATAGCGTTCCGCGTACTCCAATCGTTTGCCCTAGCGATGAGAGGTGATTAAGGAACGAGAGAAGGGTTAGTCGTGGAGATAAACGAGTTATAAGGAGGTGTGGGAAGGATTTGATTTTGACCAAATTGGTCTCGTGTGCTGTTATGGGTATGAGGGCTGATATCACTTCCCGGCTGCCTACAACGTGGAAGGGTATTTCTTGAGGAACCCGAAAATGTTGGCCTTAACGACCTGGGAGCGTGACCGCAGAGCCCAAAAGGACAACTGTTTGAGGCCGGTCGCGCACGGCCTTTTTGTGGGAGGTTTTTAATGTTAGTTCCGTTCTTCAAAGGCCCTTACCATCGGAGACGAAAATCCGTGAGGTAAGGTGAGATGTGACATTTTTAGGGTCGACCTTTTCTAACCCCTTCCTTCCTTGTGAGAAGGCAGCATCGCTGCAGATGCTGGTTGTCCGAGGAAAACACCTTACTGATGTCACACCCCTCTACAGTCGGCAGTACGACTTCACCCTCAGACCCTGAGTTGCTGCTTTTAGTCTTACCGTTCACCAATCGACCTGCCTGGCATGGTAGAACATACAGGAACGTATGTTCCAGTCAATATAGCTCGGTTGGGTCATCACGATAGGCAAGCCCGACCACCGCGTCAAGGTAGCAGCTATGTTAGAAGTGTATGATAGTGAAATTCAGTTGATTGGTTTTTTATCGAATAGGGCTGATAGACTAAATCGTAGGTGAGGCGGGGCTATTTTGTACATGAAAACTACCTTAACCGTACGAGCAGTTGAAACTGTGGCACATGATTTACGGACACATGAACTGGTGCGTTGCAAGCTGATATGTAGACGGCAAGATATTGAATAAGTTGTAGTATATCACAGTCCAGAATGTGTAGGAGATGACTTCTTCCTAAGTAAACTTGATTCCTGGTGTAATAATAGTAAAAGCATTATAGTAGGTGACTTTAATTCACCGTATATAAACTGGGTAAACTTAGAAGTAGGGTCATCGACAACGTCATTTGATTGCAAACTGTTAGAAATCCCAATTGCACTAGCTTTATTACAGCACGTTAGAGATCCCACCAATAATTTGTTAAACCTCCTTATGGCAAGGGATCAATAGAAAATCAGTGGATGCTGTCTATATAGACTTCAGCAAAGCATTTGATAAGGTGTAAACAAATAGACTGTTCTTGAAGTTGGAAAATCTTGGCATTGGTGCACCTCTCCTAAAATGTCTTAAGGATTTCCTCGAAGGTCGTGGACAGAAAGTAAGAGTGAATTCCAAATGCCCCAACTGGATACCAGTACTTACAGGAGTTCCGCAAGACTCTGTCCTAGGTCATCTACTTATTATAATGTATGTAAATGAACTCCCACGCATAGTTGAGTCCATAATGTTACTATGCGCTGATGTAAATAACTGGCGAGAAATAAAGGGAGACGCAAATGCATGCGCACTTCAGGCAGACTTAAATATTGTGATTAGCTGGACTAAAGAGTGGTTAATGCCTTTCAACGCGGCAAAGTGTGTCTATATGAGCATTGGGGATACAAATGCAAATAGATACAATATAGGGGAAGTACCTGTACTCGTGGTGACAGCGAGTCATGATCTTAAGACCACGGTTCGCTGCTGGGAGATTGCAGCTAAGGGGTTTGGAACCCTATGGGCTTTAAAACGGACATCCACCAAGTCAGATACTACTATGTTTACTACAGTATACACAACCTTAGTGAGAATTAAGCTTGGAAACGGCGTTCAAGCCGTAAGCCCCTGCCTAAAAGGTGGTCCGGATGTCCTGAAAAAATACAGAGGGCAGCTACCCGTGCAATTCAAGAACTCCGGGGTTTGCCATACAAATAACGGCTTGAAAAGCTAAAGCTGTCTTATCGCAGATTAAGAAGTGACCTGATTTTGCTGTATAGAATACTAAAAAATGATTTTGGACCTAATGTATCCTCCCTTTTTCTTTTCACTAGACCTGGACGTCTCAGAGGACATAGCATTCGAGTAGAAAAGCCAAGGACGAACAAAATACCCGTGGCATAAAGCTTTTTATACAGTCATCAATGTTTGGAACCTGTTACCCGAAGAAGTAGTATCCGCACCTTTAATTGACTCATTCAAGAGGAGACTAGACACTCACAGAACACCAAAAAAGAATAACACGGGCCGTAGACCTGCCCTTACTATACAAATCTGAATCTGAACATTATCTTCAAAAGATTGCATACGCAAAGTTAATGTAAATTGGAAGACTGATAGAAAACAACCTACCGTCACCAATCTGAAAGACAGACTACCGATAAATCTGGCTCGAAAATTAGTGTTCGTATAAAAAGAATTTAAAACGAGTACACGCTTTCATGGAACACTTCAACATGAATGAAAAACCAGTCAGTAGGCGGACTCAAATACTTATAAAGGCTTACGAAGTGCCCTCACAGTCCGTGCAAATACAAAGCCGACGAGGGAGGTGTCTGGTCGACATATACACGTCAATATCTGAAAACAATTAGGTTTTCAAAAGTCCATTGTCATTCACGACGATAAATATTCATACAGATCTCTCAGTCAGTCAGTCAGCTACAAGGTAGGACCAGGCACATATATGCATCGGTCCAGGTTGCCATACCGCATCAGCACAACAAGATGAATACCGAATTCATAAAAGTAGTTAACTCAGAGGTGGTAATATATAAAAGAAAGATTGCAATAAGGATATAGTATAGGAAGAAAGAATTAGTTAGTAGAAAGAAAGATATACAGTGATTTTAATCTCTTAGTTTAAGGGAAGACAGAGAGTGTATACAACTACGCCATTGTGATCGATTCTGAGACATGTCACCAAGAGTCTCCAACCATTGGTTACGATAGTCACGCGGATCCCAACCAAGTAGTCTGCATCTACCAACATGGCTCAGACTAGAAGTCAGTGTCTTCAAGCACTGATGCCACGTTTTGGTTTGGCCGCCCCTAACTTTCTTCAAACCATCTCCAACACCGGTTAGCCTTGCACGTCGTGGTAATCGGTGTTCAGGCATACGTAACACGTGGCCGAACCATCTCAGTCGATGAAGATTCACAACCTCATCAACTGATTTACCATCATTTCCTAATACCCTGCGTCTAACCTCACTATTACTCACCCGGTGATCCCAGAAGATGCCAGCAATATTTCTAAGGCATCTATGGTCAAATACTAGTAGCTTACGAGTGTCTTCTACTCTTAATCGCCATGTTTCGCTGCCGTAAATTAAAACAGAACGGACTGCATACTGATCACTACTAACAGAATATTAATGGCTTTTGTAAATCATCAACGCTACCAACTTCCAAACTTTGTTGACGTATCAAGATGTCGTAAAGAGCATAAGTAAGGAAAGAAACAACGAGAACTTAGTAAAATATATAGGTACACTGGTTTCTTCAAATTTCACACAGTAGGCTTGAAAGGCCGTTAGGTTTTTTTATGAAAATATGGTGCAGTTTGGGATAATTCTTACCTTCATATTGTTATATGACGTTTAAAAAGACTATACGCCATAGGAGCGATAGCAATGATAGGACATAAGCATTTACGTCCCAAACACTAACACCTACTCTGAACAGAGCGGGGTAGCGTATCCAGCCCAGTTTAACAACACTAATGCCATTTGAACAACCCGTAAAAATATTCTTAGCAAAAGCAATAAAACCTCAAACATCCGGGTTCTAACAAGTAAGAACCACGGTCACTGAACAGTGATGGCTCGAATAGATTTAGATTTGGAAGAACTACATTGCAGCTCAACTTCGTAAGCTGGAGTGATATATGTTGGAGAAGACAAAGATAGGGAATTTCATACTAACTGTTAATCGACAACAAGTCAAGCGCTTCTGAAAAATTTGAGTTTCTCTATTCCGTAGTTGGGATTCCTTATCTTTAATTTTGAGTTGTGTCGAATAATTGGCTGACGGATCACTTCATCAGTCTCATAATCATGATAAAGTATTTCATTTTCTAGAGTTTCTTTAACATTCCACATGTGGTTATGCTTTTATTCATTGTTTTTTATACAGTTCCGTTTTACGGGAAATATATATTCATTCTGTCATAGTTATTTACTAACTGAATTAGCTCCTTTTGGTTAGTTTCCAGACCAGAATCCTTTCAAGTAGAATAGTGATATATTTAGATTTAGGTTTTTATCTACCATCTTGTATTTTACCCGTGTAATCCTGTCAATTTTGTCTGACTTACATTATAGTCATACTTATAGTTCTTAGGTTTAATGGTCTACAATGAAGGAGGCTTTAACTAAACAATCTTTAGTGATTATTATGAAAGACTTACACATATCCTTGAATAGGGTCCACTACTTCGATTTTTAATCCAGCGTGTGTGAAAGTGAACCAAGTTTTCGGATGAATAAATTATTTTCTGACTCAATAATTCAACTGATTATGAACTTTTTTCGTATAGGCACTGTCCACCAACAATCAGTCACTGGTCGATCTGCTACAGAATTACCTCAAGCGTCACCAAAGATGTATTATGCCAAGTCTAAGGGATTGAAAATGTAGTTGATCGAAAACATACCCTTATTTGTACAATATCCATACTTTTTCCTTATTATCCCACGGTAAATATGGGATTATTGACTACAGCTAACATATGAGTGTAAAATAGACCCGTCTTGTTATAATTAATCAAAGAAAACTTGACATAAACAAGCGGAGCTCGATAGTTCCAGTATGACAAAACCGCTGACATCGATTTTTAGCTCAACTTTTATGCTCACCTTAGTTTTACTCTGGTTGACAAAACATTTTATGCTCTTCAGATTATACTTAGAAAGTTGTACTATCACATTATGCAAAGCTAGAGATCACGCGACCTGGATGCTTTTGATAAATTGTGACGACTGAATTTTATACAAAATTATTGCTATACTGACTAATCTGATGAACAGAAGTAGTTAAATTTGGTATTTTAACTTGTAATTGTCAGGAATGTCGAACTCTAGGTGCCACGAATAGATTTGTATTTAAAATGCGAGACAACAGAAAACATACTTGTGGCAACTGAATTTTGTAGCTCAGACCACGCATGCAACAGTTCCTAAAGTAGTTTTAAATACAAACTGGAAGTATTCCTGATTAGAAAAATGTAGTATGTGGTATTGTAATCTACGTTTTCGATCATAACAGACATACCGCACTTAGTTGTGGCATTCATTCACTTTGCCATTAATTACCTATTTTTGGGTCATTTTCATTCACTAACAATCTGATATTCACATTCATAGTTTTCTTCGCATACGGAAGTTGAAAGCTCTTTATTTTGAGGCTGGTTTTAAGGACTCATTATCAGTGTTACTGGCAGTAACCTCTTCAGGCTTATATTAGAAAGATGAACAGTTTTTGGTGAAAGTTATACTGGACTTCAGGAACTTATCTTCAAGCCAAACAATACACAGACAATCCTTGAAAAAGTAAAAAATCCTTCTTTGCTCAACCATGTTACTCGTTATGCTTAATTTTAGTTGCACTACCAATTAACATAATTCCATATAGCGTATATAAGGAGTAGTTGTTCATCTACAGACATCATATGTAAAAAAATGTATTCGGAGTTTGACAATGCCATAACAAGTAACAACTTTTGTCATCGAAATGTACCAACTCAATCAAATCTAAAATCAGAAGCAAGGAGGTTTGAAGATATATTTGATAGGCCATTAATATATCGAAAAGTGATCAATCTAGGCTGGCAAGCGGTTATAGGAGAAATTGAGCACGGGGTAACCACTGATGATCTGATGCAGATGCGCGAACATGCACCTTCAGATAGGTGACAACACTGAGACTAATGCGGTCAGCATCAAAGCCGAGGACTAACAGAGCTGTTGATTTTGCGGATTTATTTCCCGCTACACATCTTACATTGATCTGTGATGAAAGATGGCTTTTCCAATTTTCGAACAACAAGAAGCGTATTACGCTCATATGATTTTGAGATGGTGGAGAAGATTTGTAGCTCAGATGGATGATTTTGGTGGAGTTTTGTTCTCTGAGCTGGATGGTTTGGTCGTGAAGCTTTCATCGTTCTTCTGAACGACATCGTCAGCACAAACTTCAAATAGAAGTGAAGCGTTCGAATTTCTCCATATGTGTTTCACAGCTTGTTCTGTGCACCTCGATGTTGATTGGTTCCTGTTGACCTTAAATTTATCATTGTTTACTTCTTTGTTTCGGTTGTGTCTCCCATTGGTTTGATTTTTGTTTCTATATTTATGCATGATTTTCCTGATTGGTTGATAAATTGGATTGATTTCAATATGTTTGTTGACTGCTGATTGACCTGAGTGCCAGGCTTCTAAAAATTCTCTGTTGTTTTCGGAGTTTCCTCTGTCTAAGATTTCTACATTTTTCCAATCGAATGAGTGTCCGTAGTTATCCACGTGTATTGATATAAGTGAAGAGATATCATGGCGTTTGACTGCTAATTGATGTTCATGTAGGCGTAGGTGGAGGGGGCGTCCGCTTTGTCCGAAGTAGTGTTTGTCGCAGTTGGTACAATTTATTTTGTAGATGATGTTTGATTTGTTTTCCTTTGTTATTCCATCCTTTGGTTTGCATAGGATTGATTGTTGTGATTTTTTTGGTTTGTGTGCCACACCTATCCTGAAGATTTTCAGCATTCTCGTTGCGGTTTCTGATATTTCTTGTATGTACGGTAGAGTGATCCTTTTGTTGATTTTTGTGCTTGACTTGGGTTCTGATGCTGTGTGCAGTTGGTGCTTTTTGATGAAGTTGATTGGGTAACCGTTAGTTTAAAATATGTCCTTCAGGTATCTCTCTTCATTTTTTCGTGCTGCCAGTGTGTTGCAGTGTGTCCTCGCCCTCTTGAACAATGTGTGTACGCAATTGGTTTTGTGAGCTCTTGGGTTGTTGCTGTTGTAGTTGAGAATTTGATCTGTATGGGTCGGTTTCCTATATATTTGAGTTTCCAGTTTTCCTGTGTCAGTTCTAGTGATCAATATATCCAAGAATGCTAGTTGGTTGTTTGACTCCTGTTCCATTGTGAACTTGATGTCATTGAAAACGTTGTTGATCAGTTTGTATGTGTTTTCCAGTTCATTCTTTTTGACGATGACGAAAGTGTCGTCTACGTAGCGAATCCAAATTTTTGGCTTGATCACTGGTAATATAGTGGCTTCCAGTCTTTGCATAACTGCCTCTGCGATCAGTTCTGATATTGGTGATCCCATTGATGTCCCTTTCGTTTGTTCGTAGATTTTGTTGTTGAATTGAAAATATGTTGTTAGGCATAAATCAACGAGTTCCAGTAGACTTTGAATTTGAAGCTTCGTGTATTTGGTGAGATTTGTGTCCAAAAACACCAGAGAATTTTTAGAAGCCTGGCACTCAGGTCAATCAGCAGTCAACAAACATATTGAAATCAATCCAATTTATCAACCAATCAGGAAAATCATGCATAAATATAGAAACAAAAATCAAACCAATGGGAGACACAACCGAAACAAAGAAGTAAACAATGATAAATTTAAGGTCAACAGGAACCAATCAACATCGAGGTGCACAGAACAAGCTGTGAAACACATATGGAGAAATTCGAACGCTTCACTTCTATTTGAAGTTTGTGCTGACGATGTCGTTCAGAAGAACGATGAAAGCTTCACGACCAAACCATCCAGCTCAGAGAACAAAACTCCACCAAAATCATCCATCTGAGCTACAAATCTTCTCCACCATCTCAAAATCATATGAGCGTAATACGCATCTTGTTGTTCGGAAATGGGAGAATTTCGCCAAAAGGCAGGCGTCCACTCGGGAAAGATGGCTTTACTAACCCATTAATACTTATGATAGAGTGATCAGGAGGTCGTCATATGTAGTAGGTTGTGGTTGGAAACTTGCAGACTTTCAAACTGAACACTGATGCTGTTAAATAGCCCTCCATAAATATACGATAGATACTAGCCTGTTGATCACTAAAATAGCCAGTCTATATGAATCGTTGAAACCCGCTAGATTTGGACCGAACTTCTATGATCTAGCTTACGTTAAAGTCACACTTTTTGTTTCATATCTTACGTCAGTGATCCTCTCGCTGTATACAAATACCGAAGCTACTCTGATGTCCGTATCGAACAGACAATGTGTTATAAAAGGACTATACTAGCGAAAGTAGATTGTATAGATAAAGTTTCTCCACAGACTCATGAGCCGGTCCATACCATACCATCTGTTAATCAGCGTCTTCCACCTTGACGAAATTTGGCGAGCTATCCAGCGACCACTTGTCTGTCGTCCAACGTGAGAATGGTTAGGCATTATGGTGGATTTAGATTGAGCTCAGTGACATATCACTGGCCAAATAGGGCATTTTTTACTTTTCTAATCTAAATAGCCTGGCTTAAGCTTTAAGGAAAATGCCGAAAGTTCATCTGAATTTCAAGAGTGTTAGCTCAATACAAACATCGACGACATACAATGATGCTGGTGATCGTTGAATATTCCTTCAGCTGCAACCGGTTCACCAGTTTATAAAGTTGGTCACATCGAAGAAGACAATTCAAATCTGCAGGCCAGATGCAGGCTTACAGCTTTAAAAAAAGTT